GCTCAGTCCACTGAGCTATGCCAGCCAGGGCTTTCATGTTTCTTATTTTAACTTTGCTGTCATTTTCTTTCCTTTACTGTTACCACACTTAATATTTTAAGGAAGATACTTGGTTTGTACTGTCATTGTTTTGGCTGTATCCCATTTAATTTGATACAGTCCATTTCTCTTTGTATTCAAAAATGCTCTTCCCTACATTTTGAGTGCTTGTCTCTGGCCCAAATATCATTTAGTAGATTTTAAGTTTTCTTTTCCATGTTTTCTATGTGATTGAGCATTTAATTTTGTTATTTTTAATTTTATTATTTACTCTCTGTACATAGGGAGTATAAACTTACGACATATTGTGTGGTCCAGAACATGGTAAATTTTTGTTTAAAATACACTCGGGCAAAAAAAGCATATTTGCTCACACATACGTTAAATCTGTTTTACTAATTTTGTGTACTTTTACATCATATGGATTAACTGGATTCTACTTCTAAACTTCTGATATTCTCAATTGTGTGTTGCATTTGTCAATTTTTTCTATTCAGGTACTTTGCTTTATAAATTTCAAAGTTTTAGATAATCAAGTTATTTCTCCTACTGCTTTTGTTGTGAAATCTACTTTAATATGAGAAAAATCTCAAATCATAGTCTTTATTTTTAACAGAATTAAGTTTGAGATTGGACCCAAAAGAAAATGCAACTGATGTACCATGCAGGGAAAACAATAGTTGTGCGCACCTTCCCTCCCCCATTAACCTTTGCTCTTGGCAAGCCACTGACCTATTTTACTAGTGAGTCCAGGCTGCCGTTGTGTGACCTGGCTGAGTCACAGTTGGGGCTTATAGAGGACATCCTGGCAATTACACTGTGTTCCTAGATTCAATGTACATTCATAAATCCTCTGGTGAATAACATTAAAACCTCGTGACTTGCTAAGGCAAAACATTGTAGAAACCATCAGGAGAAATGAAGCATGTAATGTATTGATGGTATAATTCCACTTGAATATTATGGATAGGCCCATCTGTTTTTATAATTAAATTTGTTATTGAGTTAGGCATGATTATTTGTCAATACTTCCAAATATTATAATATTTTTTTGCTCTAAGCCAACCTGGACAGATTTTCTCAGTCCTTTCAGATGCATAGAATTCACCTTGGGAATAATAAACTTCCAAGTTTGTTCTAAACATGAATGAAGAGTTAAGTGAGGATCTGGACTGCCTTGTTAGACCACACAGGAAACAAGTAAGACCCGTTCTCTGTGTGGTCAAAGAAGGATAGTATGAGTTCTAGGTTGGCTCACATTCCAGGCCTTTCTCCCACTTCCTGTTTTTGTCTCATATGTATTTGGATAATGATGGCACCTTCATTCTCAGGCTGAGTTCCCCTGGAGTCGCTCAATGGCTGGCATTTGGCCTGAACCTTGAGGTTTTCTGTGTATGAAAATCTAATCTCCTAAATATATTTCTTAGTATTGTTGAACTTTTAAAATATATGTTAACTTTGGATTAAATGTCACACTTTCATCTGTTACTACTGGTGGAGGTAAGAACTTTCCAAACTGGTAGAGAATTTTTATGAGTTTGAGTCAAAAGTGATGACGTGCCACGGAGGAAGGTCTCAAATGCTCTGCAGAATAAGTTTTTGCTGTTTCTTTGATGTATCTGAAATTAAGGAGGGAATGTAAGGAAGATTACATGAAGGTGGGAGAAAGCAAGACCAGCACTGGATTACAAGTGTTAAGTTCTTGAGGATGGGCACCTATTGGAAGGTGAGGTCTGAAAGGGAGCACTTCAATGCTGTGTTAACCTAGATGCACAGAAGCTAGGGACAGGGCTTAAGGCAAAAATAAACTTTGTTTCTTCAATTTTTATTTATTTTGAGAGCATGAGACAGACAGACATCAATTTGTTGTTCCATTTATTTCTGCATTCCAAGTGCCCTGACTGACCCACAACCTTGGCGAAATGGGATGACACTCTAACCAACTGAGCTGCTCGGCCAGGGCCAAGCAAAGAAGTTATGTGACTGTGGTGTGGCTACCCACCAAGACCTCCCAGTCCAGAACTTATGACTGGATCACCCTGCGAAGTTACTTTCCATAGGAACCCCCCTCTTTTTTTTGTCCATCCCATGTAGGATTAGTTTAGTTCCTCTTCCATAATAGTTATAGTGAAGTCATACTACTCAGAAATGCAGTTTACATAAAATCATTAAGAGTAATAGCTACATTTATTGAGTATTTAACTGTTCTAGATATTGTATTAATCATTTCACGAACATAATTCACATTACTATTTTCACCTTTTATAGTTAAGGAAACTTCAGCTTTGTGAGTACCTTTCCTAAGTCACACCACTAGAGAAAAGCAAAGCCAGAATTTGTACCCAAGTCTTTCTGGCTTTAAAGACTGTGCATATAACTACTGATCTGCACAACAAATAGCAGATCAGAGCAATGCATATTCAGTCCCAGATATCAAGCATTTAAAATTTATGTCTAAATTTAGATCTAAAGCATCTAAAATAGAAATGTTATTTCTTCTAGTCCATTCAATCTAGTTTTTCCTCCTTTTGTGTCTAAGTGAAGTGAATGGCAATGCTTTAAAGCCCCTTGAGTAGATGAAGATTTTCATTTACTGAACATCTGTTTAGCTCCTATGAATGAGGCAGTGCTAGGTGGGGAATCCACTGATGACAGTTCTTGCTTTTTTGAGAAGCCAGATCACAGTGGAAGAGGCAGAAATGCAACTGTACTGCACTCTGTGTTATATCAGACATGTAGGGAGTGGAAGGAGAGTTACTATTTCATACAGAGCCATTAAGGTGAGCCCCCCTGAAAAGGCAGCAGCATGTGAGCAGGGCTAGAATGTTATGAGGGATAGCTGGGGATAGAGCGTTCCAGGCAAAGGACATGGCAAGTACGAATGTCCTCAGGTGGAAGCCTATTCCCTTTGCTCCTTCAAAGGGAAGCAAAGAGGCTGCTGAGGCCAGAGGTCAGTGAGTGAGGGTGACTCAAGGGGAAGGGGTGCCAGGTCCAAGAGGAGTGGGAAGGTGAGCACCCACAGTGGGTGATGTAGGTGGTCAGAAGTAATGGGGGTACTTCATATGTTCAGACAAGATTTGCTGAAGGAATGGAATGTGGGGTGTGGGAGGAGAGAGTCAAGGATGACACTGAGGTCTTCAGCCTGAGCACTTGGAAGGGGAGTGGCTGTTTATTGAGATGGGAAGACTAGGGGAGGAACTGGTAGTGGCAGCGCTGCCAAGTTTAATTTTGGACGTACTCAGAGTTGTCCCCTAGTTTCCCAGTTGGAGATGTTGATTGGGCAGTTGCATATACAAGTTAGGAAAGATGAGAAACTGGAATCTGGTAAACACCAAGGAGAAGCTGCAAAAGCTTAAGAAAAAGTTGGGGCGGGGGGAGTGGGGGAAATTAAATGACTCTCTTAAAAAAGTTTAAAGGCATTTTAATTTATATCATCACTTATAAAGGTTTGTGATGCGTAAAAATATGCAGCAACATGAACTGTAAGCAGTGGGTAAAGCCAGACCAATGGTTTCTAAAGTGTGGGCCTCAGGCAACAAACATCAACCCCATCAGTGAGCTTCTTAGAGATGCAAGCTATTGGGCCCCATCAACCTAGTGAATCATAAACTCTGGGAATGGGTCCCAGGAAACCGTTTTGACAAGTTTTCCAGGAGGTTGTTATGCACATAAAAATTGAGTCAGCTAGATAATAACAAGTTTAGTATTTCCAGGTCTCTATCATTAAAAAAGAAAGAAAGAAAAGAAACAACCTTTTTAAATAGGTAAAATGTCTTTATTGTTTGAAGCATAAAAAGAAGTAAACAAAATAGTATGACATTTAATTTCTTATTTAGTCTTCTCAGTGAGGTTATAAAAATACAATGCCACTTAGTCTGTATAAAATCTTGAAAATGTCTAGAAGTTCATATTAATATAAGAAGGCACTTGAAACACAAAGAGATATAAAAAACAACCTCACGTATACAAAGCAATTTTTGAAACTGCTTTGAGAAAAATTTCTAGACTCCTACAGAAACAGGACTTCATCTTTCCTTTGCCCGTGTCACCTACAGATGTCACAGGTGTCCTCGTCTTCTCACACCCACACCTGCCTCGTCCTTGATGTAGGTTGGCAGAAAAGAAAGCTAAAATTAATGTTTCTCTTTAACTTAATCTCTTATTTTTCTTAAGATAAAACAAAATTCTTAACTCATAACTAAGATTTTTAGTATTCCTGGATCATTTTCATTTAGTTTCAAATCAAAACTCTATTAAAAAAATAGGAAGACAGTGATGTCAATGTTTTTCTTTAAGTGCCTATTATTCAGCTGCCAAAATCACCCTAAGCAGCATTTCTGAAGCATGCGAACACACAAGTGTGTATATTTAGAAATACTGTTGCTGCATTGTTCTGGCTTTGAGCATAATGAACTCAGAGTTAACATCATCTTTGTGAACTGGGACCACAGGTTAGAATACAACTCAAATCATTCAGCAGATTCATCGATGAAACAAAAGATGCATGTTTCGTGTATTCTTCATTTTCTTTCAGGTTGGTCACAGGGTAAACAGCATGCACCGTATGTTAAATGAAAACCCACTGGCCTCCGTCATACCTGTAATGTTGCTAATTAAAATAAGTATTCTGGCTGTGGAAGTTGTGTTTTGGGAATTTTTGTTAGGTCATCTTTTCAAGGCATTGGTAAGAAAGGATAAATGTTTTCTTTGAACTGAAAGAAATACAAGACAGATCAGTAACTCATTCTCTGCATATATGATGCTATTTTAGAGGTAAGTAAATTATTTCACCCCAAGGGTGTTCACTAAAAAAATTCATTAATTGCTTTAAGAAATTGCATGAACATGGTTAATTTGAAATGATTTAATAATGAAATTCAGAGATTCGGTCACTTTCCTGGTAGAATTTAGACTATAAATGAAAACTGACATTAAAATAATATGGGGAAATTATAGAGCCATTTGAATGTTTATCACTTTATTACTGCAATCATAAATGATAATGATTTGAATTAGTTCTTGACATCGATTTGTGTGTTTAAATTCATCAGTAATTATGCTTTTTTTCTGCCTTTTATTCTGTTGGTCATCCTTTTAAGAAATGCTATGATAACTGACATGTGGTTGGTTACACAGAGCCTCATGCCCTACCTTCCTCTGTATATGCGTATGTGCTCATTCATCACGCCTCTGCTCACACTCTTCTATTTAACTTTTCTGTTGGATGGCATTGCAAAGCTTTTGCTGATTTTCAAGGCAGTCTTTCAGTTTATCCTCTGTCAAAGTCAGTCGCTGCTCCAAGATTGAAACAGTCTGCAAAAAGGAGGACAAAATAATCAGTGGTTGGTGACCTGGTGGTGAGGATGATGATAATCTCTGCAGAGGAGATCCTTTTTACATTTGGAATGTCTTCCCTTTTGCCAGGAAGCTGGCTCAAAAGTGAGCCCCAGAACTTGCTCTACTTCTGGGCCCTACCACAGGGCAAAACACTGTAAATCAGTTTGACAAAAAGGAAAAAAAGAAAAACCCAAACTGATGCATTTGAGGAGAAACAGAATAAAATAACAGACCTCTGCAGATAATTCTTATGTCTCACCTTCGAAAACATCAACGCCAGGAAAGAGGCCATGAGCAGCAATGTTAAGTGGTGGTGCCACAAGCCACGTGGGCGTGTGGGGAGAGGGGAGAATGTCATATGCCCAGCCCTGGCACTACTTTAATGTCATCACTAGTCATTCTATCACAATCAGCCTACGACAGATCATACCTATAGTACCCCAGACAGCTGAATATTAGCTTACTTGTAAAATGTAAAAACTGCTTCCAGTTCTCACACCCGAAAGAGGATAATAGCACTTCTAAGGGTTGTTGGGAAGACTGGATGAAACGATGCATGGACAATGCTCCAGTTAGCTGGCACACAGGATACGATGAGTCTTAGCTAGTTCAACTCCTTCAGCTAATAAATGAGTACATGGCTACACAGATACATACATGGCTACCCTTAAATTTGGGAAATCTAATTTTATTTCTGACATTGGCTTCATCTTACATCTTTTATATCTTAATAAAACTTTTATTATAAAATAAAACAAATTCAAGAAGTTGCATAAAACATGTGCCACAATGAATTCTCATGAAAGACACACTCTTACGATCAGTACCCAGGTCGAGAACTAGCACTCTGCCAGCCACTGCACAGTGCCTGTCCTGACCATTTCTTGCGTTTATTATTTTACCTTTCAGGTGACATCCCTAGACACTATAATTTTGTCCTATCCATTTTCAAGATTTGATATACCATTTAAAGTCATTTTTTAATTGGCTCCTATCCCTTCCCTTTCTTTTCTTTACAAATTGTCTGCTGTCAGGCCCTGGCTATCTGAGTGCAGAGTCTGCACTGGTGTGGACCTGAGGAACGGCACGCGCAGGGTGCGGCGCAGTCTGTTCTTCTGCCCTCCTTGTTCTCTGCCAGGGGGCAGCTGGATTCAGGCTAATGAGATTTAGGTTAGAGCCCTTGGTAAGACTGTAAGTGGTGGTCTATTCTTCCATTAGAAGACACATTAATAAGGTTTGGTTGTTCTCTTTTCATGATGTTAGAAACTACTCAATGCCAAGATCTATTGATTCTTGGGGGCTGTAAACAATGATATTCTAGTTCCATCATTAAAAATATGTTAATTAGAATAATTTATAAATAAGAATCATTTCTCTCTGGGGATGAGAATGGGGCATCTGCATGCTTTGAACTGTTCAGGTGATAATGTACAGCCAGGGTTGAGAACAGAATTAGATGATTTTTATGCAAGAGCTATTTCAAATTGAAATGATATAAGAAATCATTTATTTCTTATAAATAAGAATCATAAGAATGATTCTTATTTATAAATAAGAATCATTCCACCCAGTGGAAGAGTTCATAGGGGAAAGGCTAAATAAATGTCTGGCTATTTTAGTCAGCAAGTTTCAAGATAATGCCCTATCAGCCTTGGAAGGAAACCAATTTTTTAAAACTGTCATTATTTAATAGCTTTTGCTTTCATATTTGATACTATAGATCATGACCATTTAAAAGTAAAGGTAATACTGGCAATATATTCTGCCATTTCTTTCTCTTTTTTGTTAATAACACATATTTTATTTATTTAATTTTAGAGGGGAAGAGAGAGAGAGAGAAACATCAATGTGTGGTTGCTTCTTGTGCACCCCCTACTTGGGACCTGGTCTGCAACCTAGGCATGTGCCCTGACTGGGAATTGAACTGGTGACCCTTTGGTTCATAGACCGGTGCTCAATCTACTGAGCCACGCCAGCCAGGGTTATTCTACCATTTCTGGAGCACCTGCTATGCACCAAGCACTTTGCCAAATACTTCACATACATTATCACAATTCTACATGCTAAAGCTGTTAAGAATATTATCAATACCTTTAACACTGGTAGACTCTGTTTATCTACCATCTAAAACATAATTTCACTTTAATTTATTTCTAATTATAGTTCAGTAAAGAGTTATAAACACCACCACTGAATTAGAGGTTCAGCCATTTGTAGTTAAAGTGAATCAGAGCATGTTCATCGTACTTAGTACTTGCCCACAGATTCGCTGTTCCCATTTTGCAAGTGTGCTGTGCGTGCTTTTAACCACTTTCATACGTAAAAGCCAGTTGGCTACTCAAAATTAACGAGAAAAGATCAGACACTCAGTAAAGCTTGCAGTGATTTATTTATCCACAACTTAGGTAAAAATAAGAGGAAATGGGTCATGAAGCTGAAAGTGTGAAGAATGGAAAGATTCACATGGGAGAGGTCCTCATAAGGACCCACCATCGCAGGCAATAGGTGAGCTGAGGAACTGATGGCAAGATAGGAAACAAGCCAACCCAAATTGAATGTGGCATGAAGCTGGACATTTCACCCTGTATTTAGTGGCTGCAAACCCTGGCTATCACACCGAATCATGTGGGGTGACTGGAAGACTGATGCCAGACTGATGTAAATGAATTCTCTGGGGATGAGAATGGGGCATCTGCATGCTTTGAACTGTTCAGGTGATAATGTACAGCCAGGGGTGAGAAGAGAATTAGATGATTTTTATGCAAGAGCTATTTCAAATTGAAATATTTAACTTGTTAAAGTAATCAATGCCTCTCTATATCACACTATAGCCTCTCTTTCTGTGTAACTGTGACATGTCTGCTCTGATGAATACTGGTGTTCTCAGTCTATATATCAAAGAGGAACAACAGAAAACTTCAAAAGAAACACAGAATCAGCAAAGCTGGAAGAGAAACCTTTGGTGTATCAATTTCAACCCACCACTTCCCCTAAATGCCATCTATCTCTCCTGACCAAGAGTTGGAAGACATCCATGGTATTCCCTCTTTGCAAAGGTAAACTGGCATGAAAAGTCGAAGTAAGACTCTAAAGTGCAAATGCAAAATCCATCCCTTTCAGAAGAACCCAGCATGAATGTAAGCAGCTTTGGCATGAGGGAAGTTACGTATCAGATAGTGAGAATATCTCCAGAATGAAGAACTGCAAACACTGCCATTCTAACCGGAAACAGTTAATCCCAGTACATTTGCTTTATGGCGCTAAATGTGCTGTTGATAACATCCCAATCTGGACACATTAAAAATTCTTAGGGCAAAACTTGACTGCCCAGAATCACACACATTCACTGCATGGAGAGCCGCGACCACTACTCTTCACAGTCTCTACTGCTCCCTCTGGTCCCTGGATGCACGACAGAGCACTGTGCCTGTGGGGGGGTGGGGCATGGAGGGGCTGTGACCCTATTTCCACAAGATCTTCCTAGACCAGCTCAGCAGAGCAGGCCTTGCTACACTGATTGCCTACCTTGAGCTTGCCTTTCTAAGAAAAACAATTCCCCTGCTCTGCTAGTTTTGCAGCCTGCTGTAACCAGGACTGCTCTGTGCGACCTCCCTCTCAGGGCACAGTGAGCCAGCTCACCTGTGTCAGAACGTTGAGCTGTTCCATGATATGCTCCAAGGCATCAGTCACGGCGAGTGGTATGCTTCTCTGACTCTCAGAAGGGAGATCGCTCATGTCTTCTGCTTTCTTTTTCAAGGTTGTTGGTGAACATTCTGATGGCATTAGAGAAGGATTCAAGAAATACCTGTCCATCTCTTCACCCTTGTGTGGGAGGGTTCTAACAATAGTTTCTGTTGTCTTCAACATCATAGAAAAGATAGAAAGCATTATATTTTCCAAACTTTAAAATAATACATATAAAAGTTTTCAATATTCTCCTTCTAAAAGCCCAGCTTTCCTTTGTTTATCCTCAACTATGACCAAGTATGGGAATTACAAGTATAACAAGAAAATAAAGCTAACAAAAAATACAGAAAATCCACAGTTTTCTTGACTTATTTTTTTTTCTATGAACTATACTTTGCATGTATCTGTCTGAGGGAGTAGCTGTTTGACCATGAAAAGATTGTTAGATACACTTTTCCTTCTTGATCTAAAAACAGCATCACACCCATTAAGGTGATTATTAATTTTAAAAAGTGGAAAATACCAAGTATTGGTGAGGATGTGGAGAAACTGAAACCCACATACATTGCTGGTAGGAGTATAAAATGCTGCAGCTTCTATAGAAGGTTTCACTGCTCCTCAAGCTAAACATAGAATGGCCATGTGATCATGCAATCCCATTCCTCAGTGTACAGCTAAAACAACTGAAAGCAGGGACGTGAAGAGATACTTGTACAGCAATGTTAATTGCTATTATTTCAAAACAGCCAAAAACTGGGAACAAACCAGGATCCACTGGCAGATAAATATATAAACCAAATGTATAAACAATGGACTATTACTTAGCCATAAAAATAAGTAGAGTTCTGATACATGCTACACATGGATGAACCTTGAAAACATTACACTAAGTGAAATAAGCCAAAAGAAAATACTGTATAATTTTCCATATACATGGTACCTAAAATGGGCAAATTCAGAGGCAGAAAGTGGAGCAGAGGTTACTGTGACCTGGGAGGAGGGGAACACAGAGTGTACCTATTGCTTAATGGGTACAGAGTTTCTATTTGGAATGATGAAAAAGTTCTTAAAATAGATACTGGGAATGGTTACACAGCATTGTGTATAGTTACATAATGCCAGTGAACTGTACACTTAATAATAATTAAAATGCTAAGTTTTATATTATATATATTTTACCATAATAAAATAAAAATCAAACAAAAACCTCCAAATATATGTCAGTGAGCACTCTGAAAATAAAATTAAGAGATAATTCTACTTACAACAGCATCAAAAAGAATAAAATACTTAGAAATAAATTTAACAAAAGAAGTGCAAGACTTGTACCCTGAAAACTACAAACCACCATTGAAAGAAACTGAAGAAGATCTACATAAATGGAAAGACTTCCTATATCCCATACTCATGAACCACAAGACTGCATACTGTTAAGATAGCGATACTCCACAAATTAATAGGTATGGTTCAATCCCCTCCCTATCAAAATCCCAGCTGTCTTTTTCAAAGAAATTGACAAGCCAATCTAAAAATTCACATGAAAATTCCAGGAACCCAGACAAGCCAAAATAGTCCTGAAGAACAAAGCTGGAGAGCTCATACTTCCTAATTTCAAAACTTACCAAACTCAAGTAGTTAAGACAGAGTGGCCCTGGCATAAAGAAAGACATACAGGCCAGTGAACACAATTCAGAGTCTAGAAATAAACCCTTCCACTTACAGTAGTTTGATTTTGACAAAGCTGCCAAGACAATTGAATAGGAAAAGCACTGTCTTTTCAACAAATGGTGCTGGGAAAACTGGATACCTTAAATCAAAACAATGGATTTGGGCCCCTACCTCACATCACATACAAAATTAACTCAAAAGGGATCACAGACTTTTATGTAAGAAAACTGTAACAATCTGCACTGGCTTGTATGGCTCAGTGGATTGAGTGCTGGCCTGCGAACCAAAGGGTTGCCAGTTCGATTGCCAATCAGGGCACATGCCTGGATTGTGGGCCAGGTCTCCAATAGGGGATAAATGAGAAGCAACCATACATTGATGTTTCTCCCCATTTCTTTCTCCCTCCCTTCCTGTTTCTCTAAAAATAAAAATAATGATAAATAAATAATCTTAAAAAAAAGAAAACTGTAAAAGTCTTAAAAGAAAACACAAAAGTAAATTTTCCAGATCCTGGATTAGACAGAGGCTTCTTCTATCTAACACCAAAGCACACACAGCAAAAATAAATAAATAAATAAATAAATAAATAAATAAATAAATAAATAAATAAATAAATAATTTGGACTTTATCAAAATTAAAAACTTTCGTGCTTCAAAATATACCAACAAGAAAATTGGGAAAATATCTACAGAATGGGAGAAAATATTTGGAAAATCATATACTTGATTAGAGACTTGCATGAAGAACATATAAAGAACACAATTCAAAGATAAAAAGATAAATAACCCAATTAAAAAATGGTCAAATGATTTGAATAGACACTTTCCCCAAAAAGTTACACAAATGGCCAACAGCACATAAAAAGATGCTCATCATCATTAGGATAATGCAAACCAAACTTAGGATGACTAAAATAAAAAGAACAGAATGGTAAAGATGTAGAGAAATTGCAACACTAATACACTGCTGGTGGGTCTATAATGGTGCAGTTTGGTAGTTCCTCAGAATGTTAAAAATAGAATTACCAGATGATCTTGCAATTCCAAGCCTTCGTGTATGCCCAAGAGAAATGAAAACATACACCCATGCAGAACTTGTACATAAATGTCACAGCAGCATTATTCCTAATAGCCCAGAAAATAGAAACAACCATGTGCATCCCAATGCTGTGATAATTAATGGATAAGCAAAATGTGGTGTTTGTACAATGGACGTTAGTGACTCACAAAGAGGACTGAAGTACGGATACACGCTACCATGTGGATGAATCTTGAAAACAGGCTGAGTTACAGAAGCCATACACAAAGGCCACATGTGGTGTGAGTCTATGCACATGAAATGGTCAGAACAGACATGTATAGGAAGACAGATTGAGATGAGCAATTATAGGGGCTGGGGAGAGGGAAGAATGGAGAGAGACTGGTAATAGGTATGGGGGTGATGAAAGTGCTCTAAAATTCTTTTTGGAGTGATGAAATACTCGAAAGTTAGACAGTGGTGATGGTTACACAGTTTTGTGAATGTACTAAAAACTATTGAATTGTATACTTTAAAAGGGTCAATTTTATATTGTGAGATATTATATCACATAATGTAAAAAATTTATATTATATCTCACTAAAGCTATTAAGAAAATCAACAAAAATCCAACTATATGCATTACAGAAGTTTGTGTTTTTTTAAATTTGTAATCAACTTGTCACTTCTGGAAAGGCCAGAACCTAATTAACAAATCAGTCATTGAACTTGGGGGGCCTGAAGACCGGGTGGTTAGTGAAGAAAGGGCCATCGGGCAGAGAAAAGATTTAAGACCATAGTCTAAGTTTCAATACACCATAGTGAGGGTTTTCTTGTTGTGACCAGCAACAGGTACAATGCCATGTGGAGATGTAAAAAGGGGAAAGGTGGAGGCAGAGAGAGGAAAAAGCACTAGATCTCCATCCCATAACATTAGCCGACTGACACATCTGTCCTTCTGTCTCTCAAAGGTTTTGGAATCTAGATAAAGGAGATTCCTTCTCACCAACCAGCCCTGCCTTTGCATCCTGTTTGTACAGGGAAAGAGTGAGATGCAGAACTTGGGGAAGTTTCAATGCACTCATTTATAAAAAACAACAACACAAAATGACTGAGAAGGGAAAAATATATTTAAGATTCTGGGCTATTATTAGGAATCTAGCAAATGAGGCTTCAGTACCTCCTGTTCCCAGTTCAGTGAGGTCTTCTCCTATTTCAAAGTTGCTAATATTCATTTTGGGGTGAATGCTTACTGAATACCAACATCATATGAAGCATTTACCAGCATTAAATGTGAACAAGACATGATGCCTGCTCTGGAGGATTCCCTGACCAAGGCTGAGATCCCTGGCAGTGCCTGGCATGCTGAATGAGCTGCTGAATGAACAAGAAACACAAGCAGACAAATGACTGAGAGACTGTGGAAAAAAACAAATGCCTCAGGAGTCCATAAAAGGAGGAAATCACACCATGCTCCCTTATCCATTACTTTTATTGCTCACACGTGAAGAGCAGTGGGGTAACAGTAATTCATTCACTGATTTATTCATCAAAGGCAGGCATTAAAGCTACAGCAAAGAACAAGTCAAATGTGGTAGCTTCCTTCATGAAACTTAAGAGTTCTCCAGGGACCTACTTCTTCCAAAAGGGTGGCAAGGCAGTCAGCACCCCTCAGTTCTTCTTAAGTAAGCCCATGGTTGACATCTCAAAGATGGAAAGTGGAGCTTCCCCAAATGCAGGAATGAATCTAAGGTTAAAAAGCTTCATTTTCCAACTGAACATATAAAATAGTATAAAAATACAGAGCTGACTGATGCAAACAACTCTGATGATCCTAAGAGCTAGGTATAAAACCTGTCATATTCTGTGGACAAATGACTCTTGACAAGTTTTTTAAATGCCAGGGTTAATTTTAATGTATAATTTTTCATATGTCACTTACATTAGAGAATAAATTCTTTTAAAGTACCATGAGAAAGTGAAAATTGCCCTGGCTAGTGTAGCTCAGTGGATTGAGCACTGACCTGTTAACCAAAGGGTCACCGGTTCAATTCCCAGTTGGGCACATGCCTGGGTTGCGAGCCAAGTTCTCTGGTGTGGTGTGTGCAATGTGCGAGAGTCAACCAAACATTGATGTTTCTCTCCCTCTCTTCTCCTTCCTTTCCCCTCTGTCTAAAAATAATTAATTTTTTAAAAAAGATAATTCCTTTAAAAACAAAAAGGAAGCGAAAATGTGGCATTTGAAAGCACATTTTTATTAGGACATTAACCATCCAACAATGTAACCAAGGTCCACACACGTAAACTATTACTATTTATATAATTAACAATGGACCATTCAAAATACTGTGGTGCTCAATTACATGTGAGTTCATAAATTACATTTATTTTCTTTCTTCCTGTCCTCTCCTCCTACTCCCCTTCCCACCCTCCCACTGTCTGGGCCTGCGTGTCAGAACTAATCACTGTTACCACTTCCCTCTCTGAA